TGGGGGCCTTCCCCTAGCATATCTAATCAAGGATATTGTTACTATGTTGTGATGATTTTTCGTGCTTTGTGTGGCTTTTTCCCATGATTCACAAATCTGAAGTTACATCAATATTTATCAAATTTAAAACTATGATTGAGAACCAATTATAACACCACATTATGTGTTATGTCAATAAAGAACTTTAATCCTTCTTGCAACAACATGACATAGTCCATCAAATCTCATGCCCATATACATCAGAGCAACAAAAACTAGAGAGGAAGCAATGCCATCTCATAGAAATGACAAGAACGCTTCTACAAACGGCGTCTATACCATATTCTTATTGGCTCGACACAATACTCACAACCTCGTATCAAATAAACTGGCTACCATCAAAAGCCAAAGTACGTCTAGTTGCTCAAGGCCACATTAATTTATTGTAATTGCTTTTCATAGAAAAAAAAAAAAAAACAAATGGAACTTAAATATAGGATTTTCTTTTAGTGTAACTTTTCTCATATATAATTGTTGTCACAATTTAGAGAAATAAAAAAGTTAAGTCATTCATTAATATATTAACTCTACTCATTCATTCTTCTTCTTCTTCTTTTTAATTACTTTCTAGAACATTCAATACATATAATTTATAAAACATTTATTAAACATTAGCAAATGAATGGCAACGATAATCCAATCAAAACATCGCTATCTTCTCTTGCCTTTTCAGATCTGAAAACTCATGCTATTCAAAATGCCATTCCAAAAGAATAAATTTGAATTTCAAAATCTCAAGTGCAAGGAGATTATGTGCTCAATCAATTCCTAAATAATTTATTTTGTTAGAAATGATTCATAGGGAGAAGTGATGATGATTTGAAATCTAATTGGGAAAGAAAATACTCCAAGGAAAATCATTAATTTAGTACCACCACACCTAACTATAGTACCTTGAGCCTCTGAAATCTAACAACGATCCCTCGACCTGTCACCCGACTACGATCCCTTCGAACCTCATTGTCTGACCATGGTTCTTTCAAACTCTATCGATTGACTACGGTCTCTTCGACCTCCATTGCAAACCAATCACTGCCCTATTGACCAAATGGAAAAGTCAATGTTCTCTTGAGAACATGTCTCTTATCTTTGGATTATTTCAACTACAACTATGTAGCATACACTATATGATGTGTATTTATTATGTTGTGCTAACGTCTTCTCCTGAGAAAGGGTATCATTTGTAATCAAAGAAAATAACTAGTGAGATCATTTCAATTGTGCAATGCTCAGTTTTATTTTCCTTTTTTTAAGATTTTTCACATAAAAATTCTGATGTCTCTTATATCTCTTGCACTCTTCTCTCTTATCTCTCTATGTGTTGCATCTTCGTACAAAGTTAAGACTAGGTGTGTAAACGAGTCGAGCCGAATTGAGTATCTCCCTAATTGAGTTAAGCTTGTTTAGTTGTTAGTGAGCTCGAGCTCTAGCTCAACTCGATTGTTGAGCTTAGTTTCTTAGTTTTAAATTAATAATTTTTTATTTTATTATTATATATAATTAATTTAATATTAATAAAATATATTATATAATATTAATTTAAATTATTTATTAAATAATTTTAATTTAATCGCTCGAACTTGTGGCTCGATAAATTCGACTTATGAACTCGTTAATGAGTTAAGCTCAAGCCACTTGGCTCACTTACACCCTTAACTAGAACATTAAACACTATCTCTCTATCGCCGTGAATCTTTGGGCACGGGATAGAGTAATTCTACCCTATACTATCTAAATGCTTGGTAAAAATTTGATGCATCAATGCAATGAATTGGCATAAAAGCGAACTGTAATTATGATTATTACTATCTCTCTTGTCCTTTTCATTCCCTCTTAATATTAATAAATTATTTTTAAAGATTATAAATATATAACTAAATTTTCGTTTGAGATGATAAAAAATTATTTTAAAAAACAGTAAAAAATATAGTTTCAAATAAAATCTAAGAGATGGAAAATTGAATAATCTCTTATAGTCATTGGCCAAGGGCTTATAACTAATTTTACTTCATTTGCTTTATTTGTCGGCCTATGGTGATCAGGTGATGATGATGTCCCTACTCAGCCGTTCCCTTTCCCAGGCTTTGCAGTTTCTCTGCTTCGTCTGTCCCTCCCTATTGCCGTTGCTACCTAGCTAGCAATTCTCCTTTATTTGGTACTATGGGACATTGTTCAGTTATAATTCATAAAAGCTTTCAAAACCCTCGTTCCCCGAAAAAATAATCTCAATTCTTTTTATTTTTTAGAGAAGAAGAAATATGTGCATTTAAAATATTTAAATGAATAAAAATAAATGTAATATAATTTTTATTTGAATAATAGATATAAAATGAATGCAACCTAAAATAAAATGATGGTTGTTGACCGGTGACTGGAAGCGGCCAACTGTTGGTCATTAACTATCGTGGTGGCCTAAAATCATTGGATTTACTTTGAGATTAATATATTATAAATTCATTAATAGCAACATTAATTTCAAAATAAATTCAATAAATTTTAAGCTTATTATAATATAACTTGTATGATGATATTCTAGATATAATTGTTTCCTCGTAATATCACAATCCTAGTTATGTTTGAAAGTAGTCTACCAAAATAGAATTCTTTCTATGATAGAAAAAAAAAAAATCAAATTGATTCTATGACTGAAGGATTTTGTTCTCTTTTAAGAGAAAAATTATTATTTGTGGTGTCTAGACACTTCCGGAGGTCAATTAGTACATGTTATATCATCCAATGCAGTGTGTATTGGATGACGTGACACATTCGAAGGGCTAGATTGACCTCTGGATGTGTTTGAACACCGCACATAATAATCTCTCTTTTAAGAAGTTATAGAAAGGTTGTAATTGGCTTCTTCATGCTGCTGTTGGATATATCATATGCAGTTATGCACACCTGGACAATGATGAAACTCCCCTATCACTCCCTTGGACGGCCCAAGTATCTTGGGCAACCAGGGCTGTGGTTGATCTGCATTTCTTACTTATTCCTTCTGAGTCCAGGTGTCACGGGCATGGGAGTTCATTACTCTTTGCTTGGGTCGTCGCTGGTGATGTTCAGGTTTTCTGGAGGCTCTTTCTCTGTTCGTTTTGCTGCCGCGTTTGACTCTATTGGAGGGCTCTCTTCCATCTATGCAGGGGTTCTGTGTCCTCCTGGGTATTCTCTTGCTCGTGGCAATTGATTTGGAGTTCAGTTTTTGCAGCTCAATTGGCTTGGGCTGATGCTCCTACCACATTTTGGTTATTGCAATTTTATTTTGATGTATTGGGTGGTATAAATGGGGTATAATTGTTCTTTTTTTACTCTTTTGGCCTACTAAGTTTGTAGGTTGTTTCTGTTTACTGCCTTTTTCTCATGTAACATTCTCTTTTTTTTTTATAGTAATAGATGGGTTTAGGCCCCAATTTTTCTCAAAAAAAAAAATAATATGAGCATGATTTTTTTTTCAACATTAAAAAAAACTAAAATATATAATTGAATCGGGCCTACCAGCCCGTCGAGCCCGACATCCGCCCACTCTATCAATAGCCTTTAATTTATCTAATCCGGCCTCCTAATTATTAACTAGGAATCCGAGGTCGTTCTTCATACGCGCGTGAACTGACCCCACCAGATCTTCGTTCAGCGGGCTCCACCACAACCACCAACTTCCCCTGATCCCCTTCCTGTGCAAAAAGCGGCCGTCCCCCTCCGCCTTCTTAAGCCCCACTCCTTTCCAGCTCTCTATCCGTTCCAAAACTTGGCCGTAGCACGCCATGGTGGAGTTCGACCGCCGGATTTCTGCACCATCACCTGCCGCTCAAGCCGCAGCCCTTCGCCGTCTCTCCACCCGCGCTGCTTCCACCAGCAGTATCCCCACCCCGACCTCGTTATCCGCCTGCGCCTCCCTCACGCCTATTGCCGAATCGATCCTATCCCACCTTCGCTCTTCCGGCGTAAACATCCTTCCTGGTCTCTCCCCTTCCGAGCTCACTCGCGCGGAGGCCGAGTTCGGCTTTTCCTTCCCGCCCGATCTCCGCGCTTTCATCTCCCTCGGCCTTCCGTCCGGTCCCGGTTTTCCCGACTGGCGGTCGCCATCCCACCTTCGCCCCCTTCTCGATCTCCCTGCAGCCTCCATCTCTTTCCAGATAGCGTTTCCTCGAGTCCATTCATTCTGGCCTAAATCCTCTTGGGGCCCCCGCCCGAACGAACCCGACGAAGCCCTCCGGTTTGCCCGCTCCGCCCTTCGCCGCGCGCCTCTTCTTCTTCCTGTATTCAACCGATGCTATCTCCCCTGCCTCCCCGCACTCGCTGGAAACCCCCTTTTCCTCGTCGAGGACTCACGCGTTACCATCTGCGCTCTTGATCTCTCTGATTTCTTCCTCTCCAACTTTTCTCCTTCCCTCCGTCTCCAGCGGCAGTTTTCCGCGGCTGAGCCTCTACCCCCTTCCCCCCTCGATTACGCCTCCCGTCGATCACTGGACTCCGCAGCAAGAACCCCACGATGGATCGAGTTCTGGACTGAAGCCGCCTCCTTCGACCGCCGTCGACGGAGCTCTTCATCCTTTTCGTCCTCGGAGCGTTTCGTTGACATCCGGAAGCAGAGGATGTCACCGCCTGCTTGGGTTGGGAAGTACTTAGAACGGATTGGGGAAATTCTGAGGGATGGGGGCTGGAGGGAGAATGATGTTGCAGAGATGGTAGAGGTTGCGGCCTCAGGGTTCTTTGACAGCGCTGCCAGTGGCAAAGACAACGTGGTAGCCGTGGATGGGGAGGCGGTTCTGGACGCTCTGCTACTGAAAGCCAATCGGTGTAGCGATTCGCTCCGTCGGGCTGGGTGGAGCTCAGAGGAGGTTTCTGATGTGATGGGAATGGACTTCCGGCGATCGAGAAGAACATGCCGGCCAGCCGTGCGGCTCCCAAAGGATATTGCGGAGAAGATCGAGAAGCTCGCCGACGTGGTCTCACGTACTTCGTGATGTGATTGTCACGATTCCTAAATAAAATCGAAAATGAATGCTTTTTTTTGTTGTTTTGTCACTCCTTTCTAGTTTAGAATTTTAAAGCGAAAAATATGTATTAGAAGTATTATAATACTGACTTATGTTGCAACGGTATTATTATAAATGAAAATGATGTGTTACTTTTATAAATATGTTACCTGTAAAATTAGTCTGAAATGATATGCAATTTAAGCTAAAAATGCGCATTGTAAAAAATTTTATTTATATATTTATATTCATTTAAATTCGACTAATTTTTTTTTTTGGAAAAAATTGAGGGTTTAGCCCATTCCATATAAAAGAACGAGGATTACAAAAATGAAACCAAAAAAGAGCTTAGCCAACAAAAAAGTGAGGCTAAGACAAGAAATGAAGGAGCAAAAATACAACAAAAAGAGAAGAAGATCCAAAATCAGACAAAAATCCTGCTGGTCGGGACTCAGAACTTGTAAATGTGATTATAGAGTAAATCCAATCCTCCTTTGGTTGCCCAAAGACCGTCCTAAAGGAGACAGCAGGCCTCATCATTGTCCACGACCCAAAAAACCTGCCAAATAAAAACGACCCCCCCCCCCCACAGTTTAAGAAGTAATATACAAGCAATTCCAAACAAAGCCTAAATATGTTAGAATATTTTAATGCAAAAGAAAATTAAGATGAGCTTCAAAAATTTTAAATTTTTTTATCCTATCAAGTTATATATATATATAATTCATAAAAAAAAAATTAGAATACTAATTACCCTTAATTGTTCTTTTTTTAGCACTCATTCAGAATACTTACCTATAAGATGACAATATCATTGGACTCTCCAAAATAATTTACTTGTTTTCTAGTCATTTATTAAATAAGCTAAAAAATCTGTTAATACTTAACTTGTTTGTTTAGCGAATGATCTAAATCTAAGTAATTATTCGTTTCAATATTAGTGGTTTGCCAACATTTATTTTCTTATACCTATAGAAGGAATGAACCCTGCTTTCACAAAACAATAAATTTTATTTAATTTTTTCAGGAGTTGTTCTTAATTTACAACATCGAAAAAAACCTACTCTGTTTTCTCTATCCACTTAATTGGGCGACAAGCTTCTATTTTTTTAATTATGATTTCATTTGGGATTGTTTTCTTATTATTGATTCTTAAAGCAATATTTTAGTATAAATTTTTAATTTTTGTACTACAAAATTATTTTAAGAAGCAGTAAGAAAGTCGTATTGCTCCTTAAAATAAACTTTTAGTATAAATTTTGTAGTTTTTGACTAAAATTTGTTTTAAGATGCATTAAAAAAACGGTCCCAAATGAAGGCTTAAATTGATTGGGATCCCTATTCCGACTTATCTGCATCAGAATGTCTTAGATAGCAAATGGCTCTTTAAAATTAAATTCAACTATGATAGTATTATTGCTAGATACAAAGCTTGGTTGGTAGCTGAAGGTCTTAAACAAGAGTCTGGACTTGATTTTTATGACACATTTAATCATGTAACAAAATTCCCTACCATCTGCATTTTTCTTACTATGGCAATTACATACCATTGGCACGTCCTACAACAAGATGTTTCCGATGCCTTCTTGCATGTCTGACTAGACAAGAAGGTTTATATGAAACAACCACTTGGATATGTGAATTTGTAATATGCAAATGAATTAGATCTCTAACCGCGTGTGATATTATATAGCTTCGTTCACTACTACATAATTTTCACATCAAGTTAGCTTCAACAAAACTCTTTTGTGACAATGTATCTGCTCTAGCATTAGCCAATAACCCAATGTTTCATACTCGCATAAAGCATATAGAAATTGTTTGTCACTTTATTAGAGAATACATCAAACGATTCACATCTCTGCTCATCACATTGCCACCAAAGATCAACTTACAAGTCTCTTTAGTAAGACTTTGTTTGGGACGGCTTTCTTACTGAAAGCGACTTTCTAGTAAAAAAATTTAATTTTTGTTAATGAAGTTGATGAAGTTTGGCTTTGCCCTTATTCTTAAAAAAAAGAAAAGAAAAGTAATTTCACCTTAAGGTTGAAGGATTGACCTTAAGCAGTGCTCAGTTATTGAAAAGATCACTGATCATCAATCAGACATAATGAACTTCAATTTCTACTTCTGCCTGCTCAAATGCTTTGTCTATTTAGAGAATTTTTTGTCTTTGACTGGGCTTGCATGATTTCTAACTCTGCAATGGCTTCTCGTTGGTGTTGGAGGAAAGCAGAACAAGGACTCTCTTTTTTCTGCAAGGAGAGGGGAATATGATCACGCGTTAGGCAGAAGGAATGGACCCTTCCTTCCATCGCTCCTGTCCTCAGATATCATAGGAGAAAAACCAAAAAAAGATACCTCAGTGGAATGTCGGCAAAGGAAAAGAAAGGAATGGACATTGATAGAAATAACTAATGAGGGAGCGTATTTGTTAAAATGTGAATAAAATTTAGTTCGAACAATTTAATATAAATTATATTAGGATAGATATGGAAATTATGGCCGAATAAAATTATGGCTTTATTCATTGGAGTTTTTTTTTTTTTAAATCAACGAGGGACCTGCGTGTTAAAAAAAAAAGATATAAATTCATCTAAGGACAAATCCAAAATTACAATAAAAAACAACAAAGAGGAAATAAGTAGTGGAAAGGTAGAAGATAGCCGGGCTTAGTATATAGGAAGCTTCAAACCATTACCCAAAAGCTAGGCAAGGACCATCTAGAGGAGTAGATGAAATGAACAAGCAAAGTTTGACACCAAAAAAAAAAAAAAAAAACACAAAAAAAAAAAAAAAAAAAAAAAACATCAAAAGGAGCACCACCAATGGTTGCCAACAAGTCATAACGTGCAAGAAATGATTTAAAACCTCCACATCATAGCCCGGTCCTTAATCCGTGAAGGCCAAACCAACAATCCGAGAGCAGCACCCACATTAACCAACGAAAGATCCAATAAAACTGAGAGCAGCACCCACATACAGTAACGAACAAATAAGCTAAAACATAAAGCCAAGCCAATCATTTTTTTTTTTTGAATTTCCTTTTTCTCTGTTTACCACTCTTCTGAAAAAAACCAACATCCACAATTTGAATAATACTTAAATCAAATTTTCCCGAGATGCCAATTCTTTTTCAATCATTACATCCTCGTCAGCAGAGAAAATTTCACCATCCAACCAGTCATCATTCAACACCTCTTTATTCTAAGATGTGCAAGCAAATTGAGCTAATAATGCATCACTTGACATGACATAAATAGGCACATCAGCCAGAGGGGTACCAACCGTAACACCCTAATTCAGCAAGGGACTAAAATGAGTAGGTGTAACCAAAGCATTGGCCATCTCACCACTCTCAATAGGCAAAATCCCGTCGATAGGTGGAACCAATTCCCGGTCCGAATGATCATCTGAAATCGCAATTTCAACGTCACTGTCATCCCCAAAAAAACTAGGATAAACAATATAACTAGCTACAAAATTGATTAAGCATTGATTCGGCTCAACCTCATTAAAACACCGGAAGGAACCACGGAACCACCGGCAAAGAAACAGACGACGGGTTGTCAACACCCATAACAAGCTCAGCAACCTCAGAGAAATTAACCCCATTAAGTGCCCCCTCAAATGGCATAACAAGAGTAACAATAGGATTTTCCACATTATCACCAACCAAACCTATAGTATCTGGAGAAGGATGAGCGTCAACATTGACTGGAAGGGATTTAGTAGATAGATTAAGATGAGAATGTAACATACGACATTCCTCTTTCAAATGGCCTAAATATTCACGCAATAAGTAGGGATTTCTTCCATAATCACCAACTGTATATAACCATATTTATTAGAACCCACCCAAATCTTATCCGGATATTTTTTGGTAACATCCAATTCAACAAGAATGCATGCAACAGATGGGTGAGAACTATAAGTCATAGCAGTATCAGTTTTTAAGGTCCGACCAAATAGGGAACCCAAGCCAAAGATGATTCGCTGAAAGAAAGGTGAGGCCGCATATTAGGAAATGAAATCCTTTTGGGGATGATATATAGGAGAATCAACATCAATATCCAAAGAAGGTGTCCATTTGACTAATTTCATAAAATAATTGCTTACTAAGTAAGAACGATGAGTAAAGACCCTACCTTAATCCAAATCGTTGAAAAGCTTGATCAAGACATTCCTATGGTTGAGGACAATGACCGAACAATCACCATTTAATTTCAGATTGAAAAAAAAAAAAATTATAATGGCTTTAATGGAAGGCCTCCGACCCGAAAATTTGTCAACTAAAGCGAATTCCAAAGGAGCCGCTAGCGCTTGGACTTCCTCCTCTGAAATCAATAATGCCGGCAACCCACAATGAGAAGAAATTCTCAAATCGGAAAAAGAGACTAAAACATTAGATGTGCCGGACAAAGCATCTTTAAATGAAAGAGGAGAAGAATACCCATTCAAAAACCCTGGATCACGCAGTCGGATAGACAACATAACGTCGAAAAAAGATGTTGATAGTCAAATACTCTCTCAATTTTTTTCATTCATGTTTGAGATTTATATTGAGAGATCCATAAAATTTTGAATTTACAATTTTAAGAAAATAAAATATAATTTGATAAAAAATTATAATTTATAATACTTACTCTTCATAGTTTGAAAGAGTTTACTGCTTATTTTATTAATAATACAATTAAATATTTTTAATATAATTAAGTAATTAAAGACATTATTCATATATTGTTCTCTAATTCTATTTTGTAGTAGATTGTTTATAATAGTCATAGTAGACAAATCTTTTTTCTCGTATATTATACTCATCTCAAAATAAACTCTATAATATTAAATTTATCATGATAAAATATTAATTATAATATCTTAACGTGCTTTATTTTTATATAAAAATTAGAGTTGTAAGGAGATGAATAAAATGATAAATGTGATTAAATATACTCTAATTTTAATAATGAATAAATAATAATAACAAT